ACACAAAAATCAATGTTTAGCTGGTTTTTTTTAATATTTACTTTTAAATTAAGAAATTAACTAACATATAATACTAAAAATTTGAATTATAATATAGAATTTGATACCAAACTTATTGGCATAAATCTTGCAATATGAATGACTGAAATGTATGTATAATAGGTGTATTGATACTCAACACTAAGAATCTGTGAATCTTTCTTCTGAAATGTGTACTAGCAATTTTTTTTCTAATGCCTCCTATGTTTTGCCTACAAAACTACAACACTATTTGCTATTTTGAACCCTACAAAATATTTTGAATTTCCTGATGTTTTCATTCAGAACATGCTGAAATCAACATAAAATAAAAATCTATATGTATAAAATTAAATAAACAAAACTTTTTATGGAATAAGTTTGACCGTTAAATATTAAAAAAAATTGTGAGAAAGAATAACTAGAAATTTACTTTCTTTGAAGATTTTAATTCAATGATTCAATTTTGTCCTCAGACAATGGGTGCTACAGGTTAAATGAAATCTTTAACATCTGAAGCTTAGTGTATAAAATAATGAAGTCTAATTACCAGATAGGGCATTTAATTATTGAAAAATAACAATTAATTATGCCAATAACAACTTTTAATAGAAAATTAATGATTTAAATTTGTTTCAAAGGCAACCATTCAATAAATCATGAGTTAAAGCATTTTTTTTGTCTATTATTATGGTGTATGAACTTCTAAGTATTGTGTAAAGAAATTGACTCATGCAATCTCTTAAGACCCACCTTAAATATGTTTTAATTTTATTACCCTGAATGTCATGTCAATGTCTCCATGATTTACAAATGGGGATGAAAAAAAAAGTCTATAAATACTGGGTACATTAAAGAGGATTAATCATTGGAAAATATTTTCTATTTAACAGATAAATTAAATGCAGTATTTTCTCATTATAAATAACTGCCAAGATTAAAGACAATTGTGCAATGTTTCAGAGATAATGACAGACTGTCAAATCAGTTTTGGTTACTGACAATTCTGTGAGGCTTCAGAGGCAATAAAGACTGACAAGTAAGCTCTGGTTATGGGAGAGATGTACAATTAGTAGAATTTACTAATCAATTAATCATTGGGCTCATTAATTGACTGCATTCAACTAGCTGATTATTTTTACAAGAGACTTGAGTACGTGAAATAATCAAAAACACTAATATTGATTAGATGATTAAATTTCCTGAGTCACAACACTAATCAATGAAGCTGAACAATCATGAATTATTAAAAAATAACAATGAGAAATCATAAATGGAATATTTCAATTACTTAGGTAGTTGGAATAATCAGAAACAGTAGTTTCAACTAGTTGATTATTTTCATGACATTAATCAATTTAACTGTAATTTTAGTTATTCACTTACTTCATGTGACACTAGTCAGTGTAATTGATGTCAACTGATTATATTAATTCAGTTAATTGCCCAACTCTAGAAAGCTTTAGAAACTGATAAATTGATAAGTCAGTTCGTTATATACTTTTTGATCAAAATGTAGGTCAAAAAACAAAACTTATCCTCTTTATCCAAAAATGCATCTACCTGTTATGAGCTAAAACATTGTTGATACTGCCCTGTTATGAGCTAAAACATTGTTGATACTACCCTGTTACGAGCTAAAACGTTGTTGCTACTACCCTGTTACGAGCTAAAACGTTGTTGCTACTACCCTGTTACGAGCTAAAACGTTGTTGCTACTACCCTGTTACAAGCTAAAACGTTGTTGCTACTACCCTGTTACGAGCTAAAACGTTGTTGCTACTACCCTGTTACGAGCTAAAACGTTGTTGATACTACCCTGTTACGAGCTAAAACGTTGTTGATACTACCCTGTTAAGAGCTAAAACATTGTTGCTACTACCCTGTTACGAGCTAAAACGTTGTTGCTACTACCCTGTTACAAGCTAAAACGTTGTTGCTACTACCCTGTTACGAGCTAAAACGTTGTTGCTACAACCCTGTTATGAGCTCAAACATTGTTGATACTACCCTCACATAGAATTTGATTTTTTTTTCTGAATCACTGCAAGGTCAAGTAAGAGATCTGATGGAAGCACATTTTTAATAAAACTTAATTTCTTAGGTAGTTTTGTGGTTCCAGTCAAAAGTGATAAAGAAAAAAGAAAATGATTTTGTCATCTTAACGCATTAGTAGTTAACTAAAAAATATTAACTTAATTACAAATCAATTAACACTTTTATAACTAGACTGTATGGTTTACAGAAAACTGTGAAACATATTTTAAACAGAACAGATTATTCTTGGGTGGTACAGAACACTTTGATAAGTATTTCTGTTTTTCTTTATATTGTTACTTACAGAAACTTGGAAGATATTTCTTCAAATGATTGCAAGACTAACTAATAGTAAATATTATGGTGACCCAGCATACTAGTACTACTAGATATACAAAATATCATCAAGAAACTTACCCACAAGATAAGTTTGCTATTTCCGTAAATCTTCAAATATTAATACACTCATATTTATCTGCTGTACTCTCACTAATTAAATAACAGTTTTTAAATACTCTGAGCAGTAAAATATTAATAATAAAGTAAAAGTCACCTTGAAAAGTTTTCAAAATTTTCAATTAATTCACTTTCAACTTCAATTGGCTCATTTCTCTGCTTCTGAATCTTATGTTTAGATTGGTTGGGCAGAAAACTCAGAAATCCTAGTCCACAGAGCTGATGAAAAACTGAAAATGATGCAACTGTAAGTCGAGATTCAGATTCTCTTCTCTTACGAGATGGTTGATATTGCTTAAGAGGGGAAAATTCTTGATAAGAATGAGGTCTAAAAGTATGTGAGCCATAAGAAACAAAAGCACTACGGGCATGCTGTTCTGATTCTGTTAACTCACAAGTTGGCAAAGGTCGGGAACAGACAAAAAACACTGGTTGTGTTGGAGCAATCTTTTTTAGTGCTATCAAATCCCCTAGCTCCTGAAAATTAAAAAAATTCTTTAAAACTATTATTCATCTTAATAGCCAATAACTAGTTTAGTTTAAAAAACACATTTCAACATAACCTTAATAACCAGCTATACCAAACACTGCCCTTCATTTGTACAAGGTGCTGCATAAAGTAACTTGTTAAAAAATATTCAACTTAATTAAAAGATCATTTTTGAAACTAAAGTGGACAATCATTTATGATTCATCCTTCTGCTTTAAAAAAATGGGCACACAATTATAGACTATCAGCTGATGCCCACTGAAACAATTCAATGGTAATTTTCCTAAAAATAGTAATGAATAAATATAAAAAGTGCAGACAACCCAATCCCTTGAATCAAAGTGTATATGTAATATGATTGTCTCGTGGGCCATTTACAACTGTCTTTTGTCATCCTATGTGTTATTTCAATAAGGAAAATTGCATTGATTTTATATTTAAGCAAAGGAGACTGACTGCAATGCACTGCTGGCAAAAATGTTTAGGTTTTGATGCAATGGGTACATTCAGCACAAAGCATTTAGACTCCCTACATAATCACAGGTGTTTTTTTCCATTGGATGCCACCATTCCTTGTCAATTTACTGTGCACAAGAAAAAACCACTACTGAAGCAAGCACATTTTAACAGTTATCATTTGTATAAAAAGTGTCATAGGAGAGATATTCAATTCAATTTAAATCAGTTTATTCAATATCGTACAATAAAATCATGCACATATATAATACCAACGTGAAAAAAATAAAAGAAATATATTTAAACTGAACAACAACAAATATATACTCAAACATGTTCCTCTCTCTATGCATTTTTTTTCGTTTGTGCTTTTATCTTCAAAACAAAAAAGAAATATTTTTGTTCTTCATAATTTTTTCTCAGATTGACTGTTCAGCATATACAAAGATTGACAGATCAACATTGATACTGGTATGAAATTTTATAAATTGCAAAAAATGAATAATTTTCCTGTAATGTACTCTTGAAAAGAAGCATATTTCTTTTTCTAGGATTAACCGTACATGGAGGTACATAGTGTGATACACATTAGGCTATTATATACACAGATATATTCTTTACTTTGAGAATGCACATTATGATACTTTGAAATTAATTTCAATGTTGACCAATTCTCATGCCATTTAAAAATGTGCAAGTTAAAACACATTTGTATATGGTGATGAACTGGCTTATGTCTGGCATCATCATCACTAACTAGCATACAAGTGTACTAATCTAAGGCACAAAAATGAGTATATCTTCAATTAAATTCTACTTACTTACAAGAAAATATGAGAAAAAAGAATCAGATTGCCCTTTATTTAACCTATTTAATCTGTAGAACCTGAATAACCCAGAAAAGGAGCAATTTATCTAATTTAACTATAACATATTTACACTTACTGTACACATGTACTTATGTGGTTTGATATATGTGTTCTTCTTTAAACTGAAAATAATAACGTAAAAACAACAACAACAATTATCTAAACATTCAGAAGATGTACTTAAACAAAATAAGCTTATAACATTATATAAATAACTAACCCTCTCGCTATAGGTAGGTCAAAGTGCCTGTCAAGACCTTTTAGAGTTACATTCAAAAGTTAATTAAACCACTCTATTGTCATTGTATACAAAGAAATTTGGCATCAAATTTAGTTAATAAATGAAGTTTTAATATTAAATAAGTTTTATAAGAAAATATTTGAAAAAATTCTCAATCTCCCCTAGTATGAGACACTTGACATTTGTTTGCTAGGTATTCCCTCTTCTTTAATTTATTTACTATCCCTCTGAAAAGTATGGAATTTTATCTAAATTACTCATTATAATAAAGATATTACTAAGGCAAAGCATGATTCTGACAACCTTCAATCTTGTT